CATTGACCTAACATGGGGGTGCCATCATATATTCATTTTCGAAAATTACACACATTGGATTTATATCTTATTTATCATGACACTTAACAGAGCCTTTTAGCGATACGTGTTAGAGACAATATAAAAAAGTTATATTTGTCAACAGTTTTGGAAAGGGTGCTATTTGATGATTTTTGACAGTTTTTGTTATTGAGACCATAAAAACCTAAAACTATTTAATTTCACTGTTTTCTGGTAGGAGGTTGCAAGGGTTACAATGCTTTTCATTGATTTCTATCCACTTCCGAAGTACTTGAGTCAATTAGAAAAATATAATAAAAAGCCCCCCTTCCAATTTCAGTGAGGGGGTGCCATAGGGGATGAAATCCCACCCATTACACCTCCATCCCCAAACTGACGGGCCTGTACATTAATGTATGTTCAAAGATTCAACTTTTATTGCCAATAAGATCATGGATCAACAGACCAAAAGACTATGAATCAAAATAGGTTTGACAATAAGTGCAGCCCCGTGGAACTACCTATCATAAAGATAATTAAAAACCATAGATTACACATCAAATAAATACTAGTCTTCTCTGACTTTTAACTTTTTAGCTTCTAACACCACAAGAAAACAACGGGTTTTCAATAGGTTGGTTGCATATTGTTAGAAAATGATTTATCTTTAAAATGGTATATAATACATGGCATGGTTTAAGATATATCATGATATTTTTATCTTTAAACTATTATTTTTTGGCCCACCCTGTATGTATATAGGGTTACTTTATTGTTAATAGATCATCATTATCACTTTATAGCATATTCTAATCTGTAAAAAATAAGACAAAAATAATAATTCTGCACGAAATGCAATGTGGGTAAGGCATAATGTTCTCATGGAAACCACTAAAACATTAGGACAACATGCTGTATCTCGTTGCATCATCAAATTGCACCTTATATGTAGGTTTCATGAATGAGTAATGTCATAATACTTATGTTTTTTGTTTTGTTTTAAGATTGCAATATTAGCTCCTAAAATATCGTGATGAATAACCCACGCATTTTTTCACATACTAATATTTGACTTTTAAGACAACGATTTTTTACATTGAATATTAAAGGAATGAATGAGTAATACGTATCCAACGATCATGGACCTAGTGTCAAAATATATCGAAGTTTGCATACTTCATCAAGGCTAACATCTATTTTCATTAACTACAAAGAAAACCCCCGAACATACCTAATTTCTGCCGATATTCACGATCACTAATCATTCTAAATCCCCGGGAATCTTCTCCCGAAACCATTAAACATCGACTGAAAAAACGCCGACGACACAGAGAATATAGGCAAATTTACAGTAATTGATATATTCAAATTCTGTTCTTCTACAAAAGCCTGCGTCATGTGTGTTGATATCAACGACATTTAATGTGCATTATTTTGATGTCAACACAACTGGTCACCTTAACAATGCGATGTATATTAAAAAGCATATCATTTCCTAAAATAGCTTTTATTGTGATCTATTGACAAAAAACAAAGATTTGTTTTGTTTGCAGTTGTTAATGAACCTTCTACCCTTTTACACCGGCTTACGGCACATACAGGGTGACCAATTGATACAGTAAACGTATCTGGCAATTCTTCAGATTTTACCCAATTCTCATTCAAGTCGAAGCACTTTTTGAAATGACATATCATATTCTTATTTTATATTTTATATTTACGTATTTATATTTATGTATTCTACATACTAGTAATGTCCTTTGTAACGCCGGTCTGGCTTCCCAAAATCGAGAGAACTATGTATACAGCATAAACTACATGTGTATGGCGATAAGCAGGGCGACGCAGATTTGCTATATTGATTTTGAGAAAACCTGTACGTCCTCCATACAGCCGCCAGAGAGCAAGTTTGACCGGTGCTTAACCCCGAGACCAAAACTTACAACACATAAATCTGAGGTTACTTTTGACATTTCTTTCTTTTTTCATTTCTCATTGATATGTTTTCTCATTGATTATGTATGGTATGGCCAAGTGTGTGTGTTTCGCTTATTGTTAGCACTTCGGAAAGTCAGATCTAGTTCTAATCACATGCCAAAAACACATAAACCTGCCTGAATAAATCAGATATTTTCAGAAGATTGTTCATATCAAATCTTTATGTCCATGTCAAATCTTTATTGTTCACTTATACATCATCAAATGAACACAGCAGCTGCTGTACAAGACAGTGCTTGAAAATAAAAACAAAGTGTCCTCAATTGTTCACGCGGTAATAGACTCAACAAATAAAGAGTATTGGAGAAGTTCTTCGAATTATTTTTCATCTCAAAATGATGATTCATAATATGAACAACACTGATTTTGTAATAAAATCAGAATTAAGTCGGTACTAATTAGCTAAGCCAATCAATAATTCAGAACAAAGCGAGTTTCTGCAATTGTGCATACGTCATATAAAGTGAGGATGTTAGGAAGGTGTTGACTTCAAAAGAAAGGAGTTTTATTGCAAAATATGTTGAGATGTGGATGTACCTATGATTTCTATGCGGGGATGGCAATAATCAATAACAAAATTAATTGTATTGTTCATGAATCAAATATCATAATATTGCTGTTAGCCTATACATATTATTTGAGGATCATCGATTAACCCTAATGTGTGCAACCTTTATTATAACACTAAAAAGAGGGGGGGGGTGATTTGTAAAGTGAATGTGAAATGAAAAATAAACGACACTGAAATAATAGCGATATTTTCCACAACGTAACCGTGAACGCAAAGTCGATGAATCAAGGAACAGTAATGTACATGTATATACACGCGCTACTTAGTCTACTGCCATCAGCTTCGGAGCTGTGATTAGAAGGGGAGATTTGCAATTTCACGTTGGTGTAAATGGGAATCATAATACTCAGGTCTATTAAATAACATGCTGGCAATTGTGATTTCGATGCATGCTTTCTGAAGAAAATGATGCGTGTCATAGCACCAGATATCTTTACTAAACGAGCATGTTGAAAATATGAATCATAGAAAACTAGCTAGCATATTGCACAACGATATGTAAGTAAACACTATAACTGGAAGGATTATTTATGTGAGAAAACTACATGCATTTGTGTAGAGCAGCTTTTGCACACAGGTTGACGTTTCGATTTTATTTGATAATCCAAGGAACCAAAAAACCTAGGTTTGAATTTATTTTAACGAGTTTAATCAATTTGACTTCGTCTTGCCAAGATTTGAATTAAACTACTTTTATCTTATCTTAAACTAGATATTTTGGTTTCATGACTGTATGTACCAGGTCGTTCAATAAGTTCACTGAAAAATGCTCTCATTTCAAAGATTTTTTTTTATATTTTTACGCAATGTGTAAACATTATTTTCGAATTGATTTTTAAAATATCAACATCTCTAATTTGATTGGTCAAAAATAATGGTTATTATGGTAACTTGATTTTTGTGTAGGCGGAGCACTTTGTTTGAACGACTTGGTATAAACTAAAACACATTAACCATGGGTGAGTTAAAACTACTACTCTATCTCGACTCTGGCTGTGTATGATAATTATGAATTGACTTATATAATAATAAAAAATATGTAATAATAGAAATCGTTACCTAAAAAACTCTACTGTGGTTCGTTCACGGCGCCAAATGTATATTTTAAGGCCCTGAACTAGCTTTGGGCTTACTTCAAGTTGGAATTTAATGCAATAAAATGTAATACACAATAACTTTAAAAATAATCCTCGGTAAAAACCATGAATACATGCATTGTGCCAATACTAAAGGGTTAGCTAAATAACCTTCCAGCTCAATAATCACGGATTGCAAGTACTAATTGTATTTTTACATAAACATTCATACTTTTATCTCTGTTCCTGGGTTTTCTATTTAATATAAAAAATGATCCCTGAAAAACATTTGATATCTTATATATTAAAAGGGATTCCAGGGAGAAGTGCGAACTATACAATTAATTAAAACAGGATATGATAATATATAGGGTGTTTCATATGTATGCACCCCCTCTAAAATATATGTTTTATATTATTTTGTTCCTCATAGAAATTTACCTAGTGGTCTGCAATAGTGGCCTGTCCGGATATATCACCTCTTGATTCTAAAATTTTGCAATCTTATGTTACCTTCTATGAGGAACGCAATGCTACATGTATGAGTTTAGAGGGAGGGCATACAAAGGGTGGTAAAAAATGGAAACCCTGCATTTTCCTCATATCTTTGTCAGTTTAGGTAATAATTCCCTGAAATTTGACACATATGTACAACATTCAATTTCCTACCAGACAAACATGTTTCATGACCATCAGATAGATAGTCACAATGGTACAGCACTTTAAACAAGATGCCCCAGTGTGGCCACCATAGCGCTATTGGCAAATCTTAACAGGTTGTCAATGATCTGACTACATTTTTCAGCAGGTATGGCCTGAATGACATGGATGATCTGCTTTTTGAGGTCTGCAGTTGTCCTGGGGTTGTTCTCGTACACCCTTTTCTGGTGTATCACCACAGGTTCAAGTTAGGTAGGGAGATTTTGGATGATAGGTGCAGGTTTGCCGAAAGTGCAATATTGGCCACTGGAGCATGTTGTTTAAAGTGCTGTAACATTGTGACTATCAATTTGATGGTCATGAAATATAGTAGGCTGGTAGGAAACTGAATGATGTACAAATGTGCTAAATATCAGGGAGTAATTTCCTAAAATGACAAAGATATGAGGAAAATGGCGACAGGGTTTCCATTTTTTTGACCACCCTGTACATAAGAAACACACTGTACACTTTGCGCATTTTACACATTTGTAAGAGAAACAGGTTTGAAAATATTTACTCCTACATTTAACATTTTCTTAACTGATAATTTTCCCAGTCGCTGAAACTGTGACAAAGTATTTAGAATTGGCAAGATAGCAACATATCACTGACCTTGTATAATCTAATTTCTAACATGTTATTAATAAGGGTAGCCCATCCTTAAGGGCCAAGTGTAGCTGGAGGTTGATTTAAATCAGAATTAATCCAAGGTGTATCAGTGGACAACGATTGTTATAGTGAAGTGGAAAGTTATTGGGTATGTACATATCTATCAAGAAGAAAATAATTAATTTTCATGAGGCTATTTTACATGTGTGTATGTCTTCTGCGAAGCAATTAGAATTTAACTACTGTATATACGTTCACATTTTAACACGCAAGTAAGTTTATACTTGTAAACATAGCTATCTAGAAGAAAATAGGCAAGAATTGATAGATATCTAATGTCGAAAATATTTTATGAATGAATATCGTTGCATTGGTAGAGTATACTCAACAATAGTCAATCAAGACTCCTCATATCAGCTATAGTAGTTCGATTCCATACACAGGAGTTCGGGGATTTTGAAATGCATGAGCTGAACTAATTAATTGCTTTTCAAGTTTTTTCTGATGCGGGGCGTATTTAAAATATCTACATTAAGGTTTTGGGTTTCACGTTGATACCTTTATTGGTGTTTCAGTTGGTGTGATTTAACAATGGCAACTTGATCAACGTGCACAAATTATCCACGATTATTTTTATTTTCTAGGTGTATCTTCTCTCATAATTTACTGAACAAAAGATGGCAAATCGTCCAAAAGGATATGGAATGACAGCCGAATTGGCAAATAAGGTAGGTGATTCTGAAACTCATCGCGGGTATTATATTATTTGTGATCCGTGTCGAACCAACATATAACATACATAGGCTACCGCAAATGGTAAAGCACAGGATTTCATGCAGTGTGTTCCTTAACTCATTAACTACAAATATTAGATGATATCCATCTGAAAAGTTATCTTTTATATAATCTATTTCTTAACATTTTATTAATAAGGGTAGCCCATCCTCAAAAGCCAAATGTAGCTGAAGGTTGCTTTAAATCAGAATTAATCCAAGGTATATCAGTGAATAACAATTGTTAGTAGACGCGGGTACGTTATTAGGTATGTACATATCTATCAAGAAGAAAATATTAATTAATTTATTTGTACATACTTAGTGGGTCGATTGGCATTCTACAAAGGTTAGAGGTCAAGGGCACTCCAAGGTCAATATCTAGGTATTTGCCTTTTTAAGACCTTTGGCCAGAGCTCTTATGAACCATGATAAGGTGACCTGAGGTAAATCTCAACTTTACAGGTCAAGGTTGTCAAGCGTCAATATCTTGGTATTTGACATTTTAATGCATTTGGGAGCTGTTTAGACCCTTGCCTGGCCTGTGTGACCGATGGTGACCCATGATAAGGTATCCTTTGGTGAAGTTCAATGTTTGTGGGTCAAGGTCATTTCAAGGTCAAATGTGAATATCAAGCTATATTTCTTGAAAACGCAGACTTGCCAACCTAAAATGAAAAATTTATGGGAGATTTAAATTTTTTTTTCAAAATCCGGTAGTTTTTGCGGGAGTTTTTTGAAAAAAAGCGGGAGTTTTACGGGAGGTTTATGAAAAAAACGGTAGTGTTTACGTGAGATTTTAAAAAACGGGAATTTTTGCGGTAAATTTTGAAAAAAAAACGGGAGTTTTAACGGGAGTTTTTACGGTAGATTTTGAAAAAACGGGAGTTTTTACGGGAGATTTTTTAAAAAAGGTATTTTTCGCGGTGAATTTTAAAAAACGTGACTTTTTTACGGAAGATTTCAGAAAAAACGGGAGTTTTTGCGGTAGGTTCTGAAAAACGGGAGTTTTAACGGTAGGTTTTGAAAAAACGGGAGTTTTTGCGGTAGATTTTTAAAAAAACAGGAGTTTTTACGGTAAATTTCTGAAAAAACTGGAGTTTTTACGGTAGATTTCTGAAAAAACGGGAGTTTTTGCAGTAGATTTCTGAAAGAACGGGAGTTTTTACGGTAGATTCTGAAAAAACTGGAGTTTTTACGGTAGATTTCTAAAAAAACGGGAGCTTTTACGGTAGATTTCGGAAAAAAACGGGAGTTTTTACGCTAGATTTCTGAAAAAACGGGAGTTTTTACGGTAGATTTCTGAAAAACGGGAGTTTTTACTTTAGATTTTGAAAAACGGGAGTTTTTACGGTAGATTTATGAGCATTTAATCCAGCGATTTAATTGGTTGAAATTATTATGACGCATGCGCAGTTAATAAATTAATTAGAACTTATAATCTAAGATAGATGTCACTTACGTTCATTATTTCACAGCAGTCCCTACCAATAATGCGCCTTATATTGCGGGAATATTTTGTTTAGCGCCATATAAAAACAAAATGTATTCTCCCGACAGAAGTATGACAGAATTTGAACTGGCCCCCGTTTGTGGACATTTGGTGTGCAAACTTATACCGAACTGATCGCAGAAAAGCAATTTGAATCATGGGAATGAAGTACTTTATTTATGAAAGTATCGATAGTGAACCATGGGAGCCAACCTTCTTGGAGTAAAAGAAAGAAGCGTGCCTGCAATAATCAAGGTCACAAATTTGTCAAATTCCTTTTAAATACGGTAGATTTCGACAGCAAAAAAACGGAGATTTTACGGGAGTTATACCAAGAATACGGGAGATTTTACGGGAGTTATACCAGAAAACGGGAGATTTTACGGGAGTTATACCAAGAATACGGGAGATTTTACGGGAGTTACACCAGAATACGGGAGATTTCAGCAAAAATACGGGAGATTTTACGGCCATATTTTTTTTAAAAATGACGGGAGATTTTAGTAGAAATACGGTACGGGAGTTTACGGGAGTTTTTACGGGAGAAAACGGTACGGGAGTTTGGTATTTTTTACGGAAAAACAAAAAATTTACGGGAGATTCCCGTAAAAAAACGGGAGGTTGGCAAGTCTGAAACGATAGGTGTTTCTTTTTCATCTTGAAAATTGTGTCATGCCCTCGTGGCGGAACAATTATCTGATTCCAACCCGTTTCTTGATAATAATGGTCATTATTCCACAAATGTAACGGTGCTACATCATTAAATTGAATATCTTCTATTTGAAAAAAAAGTGACTGGAACTATAAAATTTTGTGAATGTGAATCAAGATGTGATTAAAATCGACACGATTTAGTAATGTACCATATATTTCTGCTTAAATAAAGAAATCGAGATCCAACAGTTCGAGATGACTGCCTGAATGATTTTGGCCAAAACAAAATCTGAAAATGTAATTCTTTCTAGGGTTATACCTAGATGAATTACCCGTAGACTCAATGACCTCCATGCAATTGGGGTTTCAAGCACGTTGATGGGATGATGCGTATAACGAGGCATGGATAGCGGGTTTAGTTGAGCTTTCTATTTGAAATTGCAATGTATTTTCTTCGGAAAATATTATTTTAATTATTATGATAAATACTTCTACATTTGCAGAAAGCAGCAAAGTTTGATCCAACTTTAGCACAAGAGGCCATGACCTGGATACACGACGTGCTTAACACAGGCGACGATGGACAACAAGAGTTAGCGAAGCAAATGGTACGTTCCTTAACAATAATTTGGGCAACGTATTTTCAAGAGTAAGAGTAAGTTCAAGAGCTACAGTAAGAATTAAGGTAGCATATTATACGTCATTAGAAAAAGTATCAAGGAATGTGTATTAAAATCTCCAAAAGTACATGTATGTCACATGGTTTTTAAAAGTAGGTCAAAGTAACACAGTGGTGAGACATTACGGTGTATCTAGTATCACTTTTTCAATAAGAAAAACAACAAATAATATTTTGTTAGAAAGAAAAGGGGGAATAAATGTGATATAAAAAAACAATAAAATGAACTTGGTGGTCCGTCTTGCCCCACGGCCCTTCTTACCCCGCTTTCCCCTAATTATAATACAAGTAATCTAAACCATAAAGTATAGTCCATGGTATGACTTCCGAATATGAAGGATCCGTAGCACACTAGCGCAGCAACATTTGAAGGAATATTTATGGAGGTGCATATGTGTTGATTCTTTTAAAATGCCATTTGCTGAAAAACTTCCGGCTTTCGGGTCGAAAACTGTCTTTCATCATAAGGGGTCAAAAAACGTAAATATTTTGATTAGAACTTTTATACATTTTATAAGACACGGACCGTTATTTAAGCATATGAACAAAAAATAGATAATCATAATGTAAAAATATACTAAAATTTTACTGTAGATGTCGGTGTTTAATTTGTGTTTTTCAGATTTTGTTTGATTTTTCAAATATGAGCAATATCTAACTACGAGAAATATAATTTTAGATGTAGTCCAATTAGTCAAGGAAGAACAATAGCCCCCTTTATTAATAGTGATCACCGCTGAATAAAAGTCCATATCTCAAAACGTAAAAATATTTTGCTTATCTATTGCTGAGAAATTACTTGTCAAACTGCTTCCCACTTTTTGATACAAAAGCGTTTTCATTGCGTTATATACGGTATTGGATCTATGGCATGACATTCTGTCTTGAATTTTTCAGTTCTCATACAATATTAATTTGATCTTTTTTATAGTATTGTAACTTATTGACAATGCTCATTGGCTACTTTGTACACATTTCCAGTGAATTTGGTTCATCAATTGCTGAGAAATTAAGTGTCTCACTTTATGGGACACCCGATATGCATTATGCATGACGATGTCGTTTGTATGTGCCTCAGGTTTTGTATAATTATAAAATTAAATGTATTTGGTAAAAGTTTGAATATTTTATAGGAAGTGACAATCACAAAGCAGAAAGATGTCCAAGACGTACTGAAGGATGGGGTCATTTTATGCAAGTAATTGACGTTTCAATAAGTTTATTATTTTATAGTAGTATATTATATAACAATCAATTGGTTTACCTAGAAATGACACAAAGTCAATTCGAAATACTTTTTGTAGCCAGCACTCTTGTTCGTTTTAATTGAAGACGGTTTCTGGTAATCAGTACTGAACGTTTGGATTTTCTTTCATTTGAACAATGATTTAATTGTAATTCGAACAAGATACTATTAGGAAAACGTATTTTTAATGAAACCTTTTGCAAGGGTCAAGTTGGCAAAGCATCAATTTCAAACTGTAGAGTTAAGTTGTCACCTTGACAACCACATAGGTAATTACCTTCAATGAGATGATTGGTTACATAATGCGATGCAGTTATATCAATTACTGTGTTCGGATTTGTTGGGAAGGGCCTAGCAATATGTGAATCGCTGATAATATTGCCCTTTGGTCTATAGTTATTAATTAATTTTTACAAATGGTTTCTGGCAGAGTGTTATACCGGGTGACACAAAAATGCCACCCACCAACATAATGTTGCATAACTTTTTTGTCGTCAAAAATTCTGACTTGTGTTATGGCACATTAAAAGTAGCATCCATGGTGCAACTCCAAAAATGCAGATTTATGAGCGTTACAAGATGTGAAGTATATTCCTTTACAGGTACACCTCGATTTTACACAAACATGACACCCACCTTTTGTAACATAATTTTGAAAAAAATGTTATACTGATTTTATCAATGACAACTATATCATTTTGTGACTGACTTTTTTCTCTGAAAGCACAAGTAAAAATCGTTAGTATTGACAAAGTTATGTTACAAAATGTAGGTGACATTTTTGTGTAGAATCCAGGTGTTCCTGCAAATGGATGAGTGATATTCCGAGCAATTCTTGTAACGCTAATAAAATTTGACCCACTCAAGCCGACATCTGAAATTTGTTGCTTTCGCTATGTCCACTCTGAATGTGCTAAAGGACAAGTCTATATGTTAGTTGACAAAATAGTTATACAACATAAGGTGGGTGGCATTTTTGTGTCATTCTGTAGAAGTAATATATTTGGCTTAGAACTAATAATAATTAAAGATCGAATGACGAACTCTCTTGTTTATTGTATTTTTCAGTCTTATAAACATTATTAAACCGGGAAGTGTAAGGAAAATCGACACAAGTAAGATGTCCTTCAAACAGATGGAAAATACTGGAAACTTTCTCAATGCATGCGAGAATATTGGCGTAAGTTAATCTACCTACATAATCGTGCTATAAGCAGCTAATGTATTTATAAAAATATTAGGACGTAGCTATTTATTGATATCAATATAAATAGTTAAAAAATGAAGAAAAGTGTAATTTTGTATTCGCGAATATAATTTTCGGCTATCGGCTACCGGTATAAAAGAAATTATGGTCCCCTGGGGATTATGGTCCCCTTTCATAACGGCCCTTATGCCTTGGTCACATTTGCTCCGATTTTCACTACGGCGCCCGGCTGATTGAGTATTGTGTTCAAAATTGAATACAATATTGAACAAAACACTCAATCGGCCGGGCGCCGGCCGATGAATCGGAGCATATGTGACCAAGGCATTACTGGCCTTGATTGCGTATAAGATAATGAGGGAAAGAGTTGTATTTAGGTCACCATGTAAATCAATGGAGTAGGACCATAATTTGATAGGACCTCCTACCCTTTTACACCGGATTAACCTACCATTTCATAGGCAACTCAGTTAAATACGAATAGTTACTGCAACTATACCATTCAAATTTAAATGAGTTGGTCAAAAAGTAGGTTAATCCGTTAGCCGACAGCCGAATGTTGCATTCGCGAATACAAGCTTAGTAAAACCACCCACTTAGCGCCTCGGACAATATCATTTACAATGTCTATGCCCTAGGCTTTCAAATTAGAATGTCAAGGTAGATGTCAAACAAAGATGTGGCTCGGTGTATCCCATAGTAAATAATTTAAGGAAATAGATTCTGTTGTATATTATGAGGTTATATAATGGTTGATTTTGTATATCGTGTTATACTCAAGTGAGTGTATGATATATCCAAGGTGTCCAATGCATCGTGTTTTACAACTAACCCTACTATCACACCAAACTAGTTCTCACTACGTTCTCGAAAACGGGCTTCAACTGTGTAAGAACGGACTTGACCTACTAAGAACCGTTTGGGATCTATTTACAAACTTCATCGAACGTACTCGAACGGGTAGGTCCTCTAGAACTTAGACAATGCTCAAAATGTTCTCGTGGTCGTCACGTTCTATAATTAGAACGAGTGACAACGTACTAAGGACGAGCTGTACGTACTACGAACGGAACCGTCGTACTTCAATCCTACTAGGGACGTTTTTACAACGAGTTGAACTGTCTGAGGACGTGTTGGGAACGAGGTAGAACTAATTGCAAACGGGTTTAAACTGATTAAGAACGTATTTAACACTGCTTATTAACGAGTTAGCAGTAAATATAGCTATCACACCAAACAAGGTGCCACTGCGTTCTTCAAAACTGGTTTTAAACTGTGTGCGAACGGAATGAACGTAGCTGCAACTTTCTAAGGTCTATTTACGAACTTTATGAACGTTCTCAGACGGGAATGTGATTTTAGAATTTTGAATCGATTCAAAATTCGATGGCGGCCATACCGTTCTGTAATCAGGTCATGTTGACCTTCTAGACTAAGGGACGCGTTCTACGACGTTGCGCACCGACGTGGTGCGACCTGAACGAACTGCGAACGAGATGGACGTATTGAAGACTGTTTAAGAACGAAGAAGCTTATTATTTCAGACATATTTCCCGACCACAGCCAGATTGAGCCCGTTTTACGACGTTTTCGTAGGACTGGCAAGAACGGATAAGAACTAGTTTGGTGTGATAGGGGGGGTAACTAGCAACAGTAGCTATACATACACAGTCTCTTCTTTCTTTCCTGAAAAAATGAACACAATATCCCAGATGCGAGTAGAAATAATCTTGATTTACGTCATTAAGAACTCACAATTCAGTCAAACTGATGTCATATTTGGAATCTACATGTAAAATTACACTTAGAAATTTGGTTTTTAAAAGAGTTTATCAACTTTGAAAATTTAATTTCTTTGAAAATGTGACTTCTAGGTCGGGGAGATTCCCCATAGACCCCATGTTGTAAAACCACAAAAAGTGAAATATCTTTTCTTGTGTTGGGCAGATAATATTTTCTTTTACTGGACATATTTTAATTTGTATAACTATCAGATACATAAGGGTAATATGAAAAGTGAACCACTAAAACATTTTAAACATGGCAACCTTGAAATTTACTCAGAAAAGCATTACATAATCAGAGGATCATTTCTACAACCTAAGTAAATTTTCAATATATTTGGTTCAAAATAGAGGGTACATCTATGAGCTTAAATGTTTAACTTCTCATATCTCAAAATAAGGAAATATGTAGATACATCAATAGTGAACTGAGCTGACGAAATATTATATTTTAATTTCAGGTGAATAAAATAGATTTGTTCCAAACTGTGGATTTATTCGAGGGGACCAACATACCTCAGGTTATTAATGGCATCATTGCATTAGGGAGAAAGGCAAGTATTAAACAAGTAACAAACTTACGAAGCACAAAATCGTCTGTATTACTCAATAGCAACGGTGCATTGTGCAAACCATTCGGAATTTTCCCAGAGACAGATAGATCATTTGGATACTCAAACACATCCTTTTGATTTTTGGATCCACAAACAGTTTAGCAAGTAATTCAAAATGGATTATACGGCTAATGCAATCTGAGAAACGTTTTAAGATCGTACGAATTCACGATGGCAGGTAGACATGATCGAAATGGTTACTTTTTGCGTTTTGTTTAACGACTATTTTAAAAGACCATAGGTTATTGGTTTTGCTTTCCCCAGCCAAGATGTCCACTCCCTTTCTATTAATTCACTTGTTCCACCTGTTAAACTGTCAATGCATATACTTGATGTGAAAAATGTTTTAATCCATTCCTGGAGCGTGTTTGTCTGTAAACTTCGCTAATTTGTCAGACATCTTCTTCGGGAGGTGAATCAATGAGGTTCCAAATAGTTACTGCTAAAAATGTATATGGTTTTTCAGGCCCAGAAGATTTTCGATGGACCAAAACTCGGGCCCGCGGAAGCGACGGCTAATAAAAGAGAATTTACCGATGAACAGCTCCGGGCTGGCGAGGGTGTAATTGGGCTACAGGCTGGGTCCAATAAAGGTGCCAGCCAAGCAGGGCTGAACTTTGGGAAAACAAGAGCAATCATAGATTGAACAGTTATAGTTTCGACATCCGTTTTTAGCATTGATTTGCAACTTAGATAAAAACTGTTCTTCTTCGATGACTTTCTTTATTCTAAATCTCTTATTTTCCGAACTATATTCATTTGATAATCATTTATGTTCGGTTGAGAGTAACGAATTAGAACATAAATATGTTCTATTGTATACTTGTGAACTCGGTTACCAATCAGGTTGGCGTGCGGTCTCACGCATGTTTTTGCTTTTGAGAGTGAGTTGTATTGTTTGTGTGAAGGATATCGCCTGTTAGTCCGGAGTACAGTTGATCCTAAGAGCACAGGAGACTCCAGAGCTTAGTTGATTCCAGAGCAGAGATTATTCTACAAGAAGTTGCTGAGAGAGTCATAGACATTATTCTTATTTGAGTGATTACCCCTAAGTCGAGAAGTGGTTCCTTGGGTATAGAGACAGTTAGTTTCTGAAGCTGAGTGACTTCTTGAGAGATTTGCTCACTAGAGACATTGTAATATTTAAATTTGTGAGCCATAAAGGCCTGAAAGACATTTTGAAATTTACTGTTTTCTATTTGTGTTGAAATAGAGTATAAAAATCCCGTATAACATTGTTTTGTACATGTAAAAGCCATCTTCTTAGCCTCAGTGTTAGCCGAAGCACCAAACCAGCTCGGCGCCCGTGAATAACATCTCCGCATCCCCTCAATCGCAACCAGGTCTTCTCCGAGGGAGCAAACGTGTCCTCGGCGGCGATCTGGCGCGCGACAATATCAAACATGATATTTGAAACTGACTGACGGTGCATCCTTTCCTGATCCCCCTTTCATATTTCTTAATTTGTTGGGAACACTAAAGTATCGGGGCAGACTTAAGCACGCCATCCTAGTACACTTTTCGTAATGACAAGAGCATATAGGGACTGGTAGCTTTGACACAATGACTTGCGATTGGAACCTATCTAATTGTTGATTATAGGGATGCCATCTTTCAACGAATCTAGTATTGCCGTATACATATATAGATAATAAGAAGAATGGATTTAATATAGACTATAAAAGAAAATGCTTTGAATAAGCTTGTATCGATTTATTGTTTGAAATATTTAGACAAAATAATAATTTTAAGTTTTACTTACATTTAATTTGGTATACTTGAAGTACAATACTTTTCAAAATATTTAAATAATATACTAATTAACGCCAGTTAACAAATTCAGATAGTACTTCCGTAAGTTATAGCGATAAAAAGTTTATATCCGTTAATATATTACCATAAACTTGATGACATTATAATTCGTATAACATTAACAGCCAGAGAACGAACTTTCAAAGTTTTCAACTGATGTAAATTGATATTTCTGAGAGGCAGATCAAGTGATTCAAATGAAGGTCTTTGATAGCAATATTCAAAATGTGTTTCATCAACCACCTACCAAATATTATGCTTTAAATGACTTCATAATAGCTTACCAATCACAGCTCACATAGTAAATATTACATCGCTTTTATTAGATATTTATATTCGTTCCCGATGCACCAATCTGATGCTTGACCCACTTTGATTGTTTGACCTGTTTTATTACATTTTGACACTGTCCATACAGTTTTCATTACAAAGACATAATGTCCGCTTACGAATATTCTTATCCAAAACATTGCTGACAGATAAATGTTAATTAGTTGAATATTACACTTGCGTTTCTGGTTCATTTTCCTTTTGTGACATTATAACATTGTCTTTGGAGATATCAGATAATAAAGGAATTATAGTTTCACCAGATTCCCAGGAAGGATTTGTACGTATGTCGTGTTTCCACACATTTGTACCTTCGTTGGTAAACCTAGTCCGTCTTTGTTTAGCACTATCATCACCATTTAAACCACCAAATCGAACTGTGTCGACAGAAGCATCAGGAACGTTATTTATCACGCACTCTGGACCACTATGATCCAAAGATTTCACTTTTCTGTTCTCATTCTCGTCTCTGCTGTGTGACCTGCCTCCGTATCCACAATCTTTAATATTTGACTGGTCACTAATTTTATCAAAATCACTCTTTGGAACTTTTTCGTCTCCTGGACATCTAATACCACCATTTGACAAGCCTGTCGATTTGTGAGATTGTTGCACGCTTGGAGGTATTCGGAGATTCTTACTTAATGTATGATCACCACTTTTGGTATATTTTATAGAATTTTTCCCAGAAAGGTTAAACGTTGCGTTTAATCCAAGACGCATCCGTCGATTTTCTTGATCCTCAGCGTTTAACCAATACGTAAAGACATCACCCTTTCCCTGAAGAACAGAATTGAAAATATTTGATCGATCCATTTTGAAGAATGAAGTCCCCATAATCAATCAGTGTATTTTACGCGCTTTGTTACCGAATAAAAATATTAATCATTTCGCAAACATTAGACGTACCTTCATGGCTACATATCCTCGCTCTTCGATGCTATAACCGCCTAATATTATCAAGAGGTCTCGTGTAGTTGGTGAACAATGGATCCGTAGTGCTGCAAACATGAAGTACTGTATTAACTATGAGTGTTTATTAACATTAGCGAATCCCCCCCCCTCAATCTGACCGACAATACTTTCAAAATCATGCAGCTTTTCACCATTCTTAGCAATTTTCAAGTGATTTTGGGTCAGCTGTGACCTCTTGACTTTTTTAAAAGTTGACCTCCCCTTGTCAAAAGCTTGGCCTGTTAACCCATTGAATGATGAATGTGTTTCTTTGTTTCCATATTTATGAAAATGATTTGATCGAATGGCCAGTTTAGATACAGGTTCAAATACGTTAAATGTCTATGATAAAATGTATGCCACAAAATCATATCATGTTATGAACTCCAACCACTGACGCCCTGAAGTATGGGATATGTATAGACAAACATGAAAATTTAAATCGTGACTTAACATTTCTTATTATTCTAATTATTTATTCTAGTGTAATATACATTAACAGTTTACAATTTAGTCAATTCCGAATCGCTAGACACTATGATATAAGAACGTATAGTGGGAGGAGTGGGAGGAGTAGGAGGATGTCGTGGTGTCCATTTCCTGTCTCAATGTCATGACAATTCGACTTTATACATACGTTCTCCGTTTGATTCCATCCTAGAAGCAGTATTGACAGCGTCACCAAACAGACAATAACGTGGCATCTTGAGACCAACCACACCAGCGACACACGCTCCTGAAATAAGTCACATATATGGTAGCTTTACCACCCTAGATACACACGCCACTGGAATATAAGTCACATATACGATACGTTAACCACATTAATCACACATACCCCTGAAATATAGTCAAATATATGGTTCGTTGACAACTCTTGCCACACACGCTTCTGAAATATAAGTAGCATATATCGTACGTTCATCACTCTAGCCTCTGAAATTCACTCTCAAGTAATACATGTATGCCATATGTACATCTATAAAATGTCATAAATAACATTTGTTTCTAGTGTTTTCTCGCTTCAAAAAAAATACATATGTGAAAAAGACAAGATAAGACAGATTACAGATATGGGCATGTATCGTAATGCAATTTCAATTAAAAAATGATTGTTTTATCACGACTTCCACTAGTTACTTTGTGCTTACCCGAATGAATCCCTATCCTTAGTTTGACAGTGTGCTCCGGCTTGTGTCTGACCTTGAACTTGGTGATTTCCTCTAAGAGATGTAAGGACATAGAAGCGATCTCCCCCGCGTGGTTGATACCATTTTTAGTTGGGAGACCTGATACCACCATATAGGCGTCGCCGATGGTTTCAACCTTATACACATCGTAGTTCTCGATAATCGAATCGAAAATAGTGTAAAGGTCATTGAGCAGGTCGACGACCTAAAAATAATATAAGTCATGTACACTGGATTGCAGATAAAGTTCAACTTACACAATTGGAAGTAGATTCTAAGGTTGATTTTGACATAAGATTGGACTTTAATAAAAATCGAATTGATTGATTGGTTGGTTGTTATTTGGCTGGTTTGTCGGTTTGTTGATTGGTTGGTTAGTTCGCTGACTGGTTTGTTTGTTGATTGGTTGATTGATTGGTTGTTTGTTTGGTTGGTTGGTTTGTTCGCTGACTGGTTCGTTAGTTGGTTAGTTAGTTGGATGTTTTGTTGGTTGGCTGGTAAGTTGAGGCAAGACTAGGTGACACCAAAGTAAAGTAGCCACATTAACAATATCTTATTAATCATTTTCGAAGGAGAGGCCATCTCAACATTTTTTGACTAACCTGCATCGGGCTACTTTCAGATGAAAGCTTGGTGAAGCCACAAATATCACTGAAGTAAATGGTTGTCGACTCAAACGCCTCTGCCTCGACGTGCTTGCCTTGCTTTAATTGTTCTGCAACCGATCTGAAAGATTTGAGATACAAAGTAAATCAGTTTGCCTAATATTTTAGTGCAACTTATATGTACAGCGTGAAACTAATATAGTCCATTTGTCATTTTCTGAACGTATAAATATTTAAAAGTATGATGTTTTTCTGTGTAAATACTATCATTAGGGATTATTGGAGTGATTTAGCTGGGTTGCCAAAAAAATAACTTTGGGGAAAATTTTTGTATTTATTACCATGGTAACATACCAGGTATATGGTGGTATCCAAACGCTAAGTCAATAGTCAACGCCATGTTAAGCGATTGCACCCCTCCCTAATCAGCCTATATCATTTTTTCCCCAAACAAACTTTTTGGGCAACCCAGTTAAATCACTTCAGAAAACCCTAATTATCATAAATTGACCATAAAACATCGTACTTTTAACAATTTCTAGGTTCACTATTGGATGTATAGGGGTGACAAATGGACTAATATAGTAAGTTTACCTACTTATACTTATTGTTAATTTCTTTTAAGTACACTTGATGATTAACTATGGCAGGTAGTCCCCAAGTTTTAAATATTATTTTAAAAATATTGTGAGGCAGTTATATCGCCTGCAGCACGCCTAGCTATACCAAGGCTCTGCTTGATTTATGATCAATTAAATCGAAATATGATATATTCTTTGTATGAGTCTCAGCAAATAGTAGTGTCCTTCTTAAAGACTAGTTTTAAATAAATCTCGTGGTGAAATATTTAGCACTTTTCAATTCCTGAAAACCATTGTGGTAAAGGGTGAGTCAAACACACTAAAACGTTTAGCCATCACGTAAGAAGGTTGATCAGCGCACTTACTGGGGTAACATTTGATGTAATAGTTCTTCCGTCTTTTTCTTTTCCTCCCTCAGTTGAGCAGTCCTTTCTTCAACAATGGCCTCGAGGTTCGTGGCATATTTCTCCATAATAGCAATCATATTATCAAAAATATTGGCCTTCCTGAAAAGTTGTTATTAAAGATAAATGAATATCAATGTTGTAACTGTTTGTTATGTCTATTGATCCTAACATCCTTCCTGTATTTAAGAAAGTATGATGTAATTATTTTGTTTCATAGGCTATAGAATTGGCCTCCTAAAATCGTCCGAAGAGCACAGAGGCTCCTACATTTTGAAAACCCTGTCCCAAAAAGCAATGGCTTCGATCATCAAAGAAAACACGTACGTAAAATATAATTCCGAAACTGATACAAACCATGACATTTTATAAAAAATATGTGTATGAATAGTTTTAAACGTCAGATATCAAAACATATGAGAGCAGTTGATGTCTGAACCAACGTTATAAAACAGACTCACATGCCCTTTTGCATTATTTTCAATCGTTGGCGTACAATCTTAAAGTCAGGTCGAGTATTCGGGTCCTCGCTCCAGCATTCTTGAATACAGTCAGTAACGTATTTTGGTGTAGAGCCCAATGCAGCTAGTCTTGGTCGAAATGGTTTTTCAAGGGTGCTATCAGTTACATATGATATAATTTCTGAAAACAAAACTTTTTTAGTATATGTTGTTGTTCTGTTAAAAATGACAATTATAAAATATAGCATGATACTAGAGGCACTTTGTATAATGTTACCAAAACGAGTAAATGAGAGCTATATTTCAGCTAAATGAGAGATAAATTCCTAAATCTGACAACCAGAGATCTGATATACAGGGTGGTCAAAAAATGGAAACCCTGCATTTTCCTTATATCTTCTTCACTTTAAGAAATTCCTCCCTGATATTTCACACATTTGTACACCATTCAATTTCCTACCACCCTATTATATTTCATGACCATCAGACTGATAGTCACAATTTTACAGCGCTTTGAATAACATGCTTCAGATTTGGCCATTATCGCGCTGTAGGCAAAACAGCACAGTTGTCAATGACCCGAATGCATTCCTCAGCAGGTATGGCCTGAATGACACAAATGATCTCACTTTTGAGGTTTGCAATTGTCCTGAGGTCATTCTCATATACTCTGTCTCTGCCATATCCCCACAGGTAGGGACATTTTAGACGATGAGTACAGGATTCTCCACAACGCAATAGTAGCCACTGGGCATGTTCTTTAAAGTACTGTAACATTGTGACTATCAATCTGATGGTCATGAAATAAGGTAGGCTAGTAGCATACAAAAGTGTAAAATATCAGGTAGTTATTTTTTAAAATGACAAAGATATGAGGAAAATGGTATTAGGGTTTCCATTTTTTGACCACCCTGTACTTATATGATATAAACTCCTTAGAGGCATTAACCCCTATTATTCTTGTCATGTGGATTGTTTGCCAACCATACAGAAAGTTATTCATTATCAAATGATAATTGTTGAGTGGGTGATCATTCGTTCGTCGTGTCAACTCTTACCTTGGGGATCAAGTTCAATATCCCCATATGGACCTCGTCGTCCATGTGTCTCATAAAGGATAATGCCAAATGAGTAGATATCGCCTTTTTGAGTCCCTGTCTCAAGGATGGATTGTTCTCGTAAAATCTCTGGTGCTGTCCATAATAATCCTAAAAATACAAATGGTCTTATTTTCTAATCATCCATATATATTGATGACTGGATAGTCTATGATACGTATATGTACATATAACCCTACTATCACACCAAACTAGTTCTCACTACGTTCTCGAAAACGGGCTCAAACTGTGCACGAACGGATTTGACGTACTAAGAACCCACTAAGAACCATTTGGGATCTGTTTACAAACTTCATGAAACTACTAGAACGAGTAGGTCCTCCAGCACTTAGAGCATGCTCAAAATTTTCGGGTGATCGTCAAAACGTTGCCGAATCGGTTTTAAACTGTGTGCGAACTGAATGAACGTAGCTACAACGTTCTATGGTCTGTTTACGAACTTCATGGACTTTCCCGGACGGGGTGTGAGATTTAGAATTTTGAATCGATTCAAAATTCGATGGCGACCATACCGTTCTGTAATCAGGTCATAATGACCTTCTAGACTAAGGGACGGTGTATACTACGTTGCACACCGACGTGGTGCGATCTGAACAAACTGCGAATGAGATGGACGTATTGAAGACTGTTTATGAACGAAGTGGCTAATTATTTTAGACATATATCCCGACCGCAGCCAGATTGAGCCCGTTTTACGACATTTTCGTAGGAGTGGCAAGAACGGGTAAGAACTAGTTTGGTGTGATAGGGGGGTAACCAATCTGTTCACATTCTACAATCGGTTTATTCTTCTTCGAAAAAATGGCGATCCTAATTCTTGGAATGTCTTGCCAATTTGACACGCTGGAACAAAAATGGCCAATGAAACACTTGATTTTAAAGATGCCTTTAGCAGTGTAAACAGTATGAAATTGTATTTGAATTCATGCATGTTCCTTCAATTTTAATTCGATCGAGTAATGTATGCAAATTGAATAGATGTATTAGTCTAGACTTACGTGAATTCTGTACGTGGTCGGAATATTCATTTTCGGAATTTGCTTTAAATTCAACTAAGCCAAAATCAGTTATCTTAAGCACCCATCTGCTATCAACCACACAGTTTGAGGATTTTAATCTTCCATGTACCTTTATCTCAGACTCGTGGATATAAATCATTCCCTACAAACAAGCGTTTTAAATATTTATTACAATTCAATATTCGTATATTTTTCTTACTGTACAGTATATGGAACACTCTCCGCACTCGTAAGCTATTGTTCAGGTGTTCATTATGTTAGTGGGGGTTCATTATCTTGTTCACGTAAAATTCGTTGTCTAAACTCGCTAAACGTTTAAATTTAAACAAATGTGCATAGTTCACAATATAAAAGTGAAAGTAGTCTTCAATTACCCTTATTATATCAAAAACTAATGAGGCGATGAACATCTGGTCTAGTTTAATATCATCATTCTCAAGGATGTCCTGCAACAGATAAATGACAAGATAAGGTAGTTTCTAATATTAAAAGAGGATCTGGCTTCATCCTTGTTCTTGGTGTAATTTGTATATCTCAAGTAATTCCTTAAATAAATAAAACGAAGTGTTTGATTTAATAGAAAGAAAGAGCCAATCTTTAAATCATTGAATTTACCTGTAAACTTCCTTTTGAACAGTATTCTGTGATGACGCAAATGTTATTTGGTTCTATACATGCACCGATGAACTGTGTAATATTGTCATGCCGCATGTCTCGTAGCTGAAAAATGTTTTGTGTATAAATAGGCATTCCTTATGACGCGTTACAAATTATTTACAATCATGATTTGAATCAAAGATCAAATTGTAAAGAATGTAAAATAAATCATGCATTTCCTCATCATGTGTCGAAAGTAGGCTTTACATATTGTTAGACACCATTATATGATTTATGGTATTTCATGAAACTGAAAATGTAACTAGATGTGTTGAATGTATGACACAAAATAAAGTAGTTAATAATCAAGGCTCTGTAGTTATACACTCATGAGCAAAGGAAGCAATGTTAAAAACGGTGGGGGAAACTGTTTTCAAATGTTTTTCTATGAATAAAAAAGGAATAAAAAACGGTCGGACTCTATACATACACGAAATAAATGTTGCATACTAAATATTTAGGACATACTGATAAATAGAAAGTTTACCAGTTTCAGTTCCTTTTGTATTGCCCGAGTGAGGTCGATGCATTTCTTCTTGACTGGCTTGATAGCGACTACACTACCTTTGTAGCGCCCAACCTTGGTGAATACCTGCCTATTCTCCCAGTCAGCGACAGAAACCAAAGACCCTTGGCTGCCACGGTGATTCAAACTCATCTAAAAAAGACTCGAGATACTATAGCGATGCATTGAGATTATTCAATATCAGGGACCTGGATGCGTGTCATGAAATTGCATTTTCCCCATAAATTAGTGGCACATTCACGTACTAACAAGAGAGGCGAAATATATTCAATAGATAGTGAGTCCATGTGTCACCCCAATACATCATATAGTGAATCTTTGAATTATTAAAACTATGATGTTTTATGGTCAATTTATTATAATAATAAGAGTTTTCTGAAGTGATTTAACTGGATTGCCAAAAAAACTTTGTTTGGGGAAAAAATTATATAGGCTAATTCTGCAAGGTGCATTGGCTTAACATGGAGTTGAATATTGACTTAGCATCCAGATACCATCACGTATGTCACAATGCATAAATGGGGATATATTAAATTTTTTCCTCGAAGTTGATTTTTCGGCAACCCAGCTAACTCACTTCATTAACCCCCAACGATAGTAATTGAACAGTAAAACATCGTACTTTTAAACATTCATACGTTAAGAAAAAGACAAATGGACTAAGAAGGCAAATTATGCACAGGTTGAACAACACTATTTTGACTCGATTCAAATCATCATTCATTCGGACAGACATATAAAACATGTCTCCGATTCAGATGTGTTTGATGAAAATGAATTTACAGTGAATTAGAGTGAATCGTAGTAAATGTTATAATCTATAGTAATAGAAGGTTCAAAAAAACTCATGCCATACCTTACTGGCAGCGTGGGTTAAGACTGCTTTGTAATTTTCTGTGCCATATGTTTCTTTGATAATCAGTTCGTGATAATGTACCAACCAAAGAAGACTTGCAAGATCACGTTCGTACTTCAAATGCCTAAAAAGTGAAGGTCAACGAGGACTCAAAACTGATGGCATAACAATCAGCGTCGATGTGATACATTTTGTGGAAATACATATTATAAATTGATAAAATAAAAACACATAATTATATTATGTCAATGTTTTCTTACACATAAGAGAAAGGTTCAAATAAAATGGTTCCTAAGTTTATCAAATCAAAACATTTATGTTTTTCAACGCTACAGGAAGTAGCAAGAACCAATTTATGGCCTCCCATCTAAATGGGTCACCCAGTCCGTTGTTTTTATGTTTAATATTAAACTCCACTTTGTTGTAATTGAATTAGAAATATTAAAGCCATGCAGAACGTGTTTACTGTTATTAAGATTAATAAATCTGAAACATCAGCATCAATTCATAATGTGATATATATTCAGAAGGTGGGTATCTCCTCTTTATGAAAAATAGTAGAGGGAACGTACGCAATTTTTGATGATGTTATGCTGGTTAGTACACAATCCTATAATGTTGATGCATTCCAGTGAAGTGATCAATTTCAAAATGAGAAAATAACGGAATTCCTCACTAATATGAGTCGACATTATCCTAGTATCAAGGTACGATAGTGATATCGATAGCTCTTTGACAATGACAAAGGTGTTTTGTACTTGTTCTATATGGCTTTAATAATGAATCATAGAAAAGCTAATTTAACGTTCATTAATTGGAATCAATTGCATGTCCTTGATTACACTACCTGTATATAAATATGCCTGCCATAATTGCCATTAATAGTATTCCACCTATGACACCAGCTATGATTTCTTTCACAAACGCTGAAAAAAGGAAAGGATGCCAATTTACTGCCAGATATATATATAGTATACAGAGTGGGCAAAAAATACCCAAGTTTAAGTATGAATCATGATTCATATGATATATCTAAAACAATGCCATGTGTCATATATCATATTAAAGATACATCATTTCCTTACAATATGACACCATCCGATTGAAAAACTTTCGTTTATCTTATGGAGTAAGAGGTCAAAATTGAAACCAGGGGTGTCATGACCAAATATCAAAAAATGAAAATTCCCGAATTTCCCTTCATATTGCAATCACAGCTGCACTCAATATGCTTGACTTGATCATTACAGATTTATTCAAGAGTAATACAAAATTGATAATTAATTCAAAAGATAAAAGTACATGTAGTATCAGTAAATTATGCATTAAATTTGTATAAATGTACCTCTTTTGAAGGTGCCAAAGTTCAAATTTCCCTCCATATTCCACAATTATGAAATCCTCGGTTAATAATATACACACACCAAGTCCTTATTTAAAACTATAACATTTGTAATATAAATGAGAATTGTTTTAATTCCATCAACAGTTTTATTTGATTTTATTAGAATTATTCTATTTCAAAACTGGCTCTCCTACAGTTCAGGTGTTTCACTTGCACTAAGCTGTATTTTCAAAGAATAATGAACTTAGATATTCCAAAAATGCGTTAACGATTCTTTTTTAGGTTTTTGCGTTTGTAAACCGGCCCATTATATGAACGCGGAACATTTTTGGAACAGACTATAAATTACCTTTTTGCCTTCAATACTTCGTGATTAAATCATGTCAAATTTTTAACCATTCGCAAAGTGCAAAGACAACGATGAGCGTATGTGGCGTATACACAACATAGCAAGCGAAAATTTGGATTTGATATCAACGATAACCCCGAGGAGAACCAGAACGACAAGGACTGCAAAAACTGCAATTTCGTCGCCAATGCGTGCCCAGTTTACACAGTAGTCTTAAAATGTGTGAAGAGGCTCGATGCTTGTTTTGCCTACGTGTAACATTAGATAAAAACAAGTAATATTTTAGAATAGGCAACTATGACTGATGTTTGTATCCAAAAGGTTAATAAATGACGTCTATTAATTATCGACGACTTTATATATACAAGTTCATGATAATAAATTAATAATGTTGATTCTAGAAATTGCTAATAAAAGTTCAATGACAAGGTTATTAATCTCCAACCATTGTCCTACTAAAATTAAAATATATAAAAAAAGTTGGGCATTAACCCTCATCTCATGGATATATATTTTGATCAAAAATTGTAGTATGAATTCAGGACTACCTGAATATAGTAAATAAAAATATTACACTATTCCACCGTTTTCATCATATTGTTGGAAGTCTTTTCGTTGCAGGATGCATTCATTACTATTTGTTTGTTATAAAATGGTTCCCAGTCCCATTACATTGCGTTAAAAATGCTAGAAAATGTACATTCGAGGACACTACCTGTTCAAAATATCGTCAATTGGTATTCAAAAATGGGAGACATACAAGTTAGATATCACTTATAATCTACCATAAATGGAAAATGATAATTTTACATCTATTTAATTGAAATATTACTTCTTTCTGGTATACACCGTTCCCCAAGGAATCCACAAACAGGTTCGTCAATAGGAGGACCGTCGCCAACCCAGTCTATAAAGTTGCCTGCTCTCAACTGGAATAACTGAATTAAAAACAACAATGAATATGGATATATGTTTTCTCATGAATGCTTAGACATAAAAAAACTCAAACTAATTTAATATTGTTTTGAATTTTTAGATTTTATTTATTTCGAGTCATCGGATCCATACTTATAAAGATAATTCGATAAACAGACGGTTAACAGCACATGAGCAAAGGTGAGTAAGAAAATCATATAGTTTTTTTTATATTCCTTATTCTTAATTTCAAATTTTGAGTGGTCACATACACCATATTCCTATTATCTCAGCTCAAATTGGAGTTGGTACAAATTATTGAATTTGTCACTCATTACTTCATAACAGAAGTTGCTATTCAATAAAGAAGGTGGGTGTTCATTATTGAAGTGGGTGTTCATTATTGAAGTGGAATTCATAATCGAAGTGTGTGTTCAATATTGAAGTGGATGTTCATTATTGAAGATGGTACTCAATAATGAAGTTGTTATTCAATAGAGAAGTAGGTGTTAATTTTTGAAGTGGGTGTTCAATATTGAAGTGGGTGCATGTGTCTATGATTGAAATGTGTGTATCCTTTAAAAAGCGGTGCACATTGTTGGAGTTGGTACATGGACTCATTAGTTTCACAATTAACTAGCGAATGCAGTTCCAACTTAAAAATATATAAATGATATGGTATTAGTGATTTGAATATTGGGTTTATCTCAAGGAGCTTTAGATTTGATATGTTGCCGATGTGCTAAACGATCCGACATATGACATCATATTTCAGATATCATATGTGATTTTTAAACGTGTATATAAATCGGCAATCTGTAAAGTATTACATCTGCTAAAAGTTTTATCACAATTTTAAAATAACATAACTTGAAAACATACAATGTACTTGGATTGAAAGAAAATTACCGGTAAGCCAGTGGCATTGTCGTTCAGTGCGAATTGTCCAATAGGATAGAGTCCCCAGTCACCCTCCGTGGAAGTCTGTAATGTGACAAGTGTATAGTTTCCTTCTGCATCTCCATTCTTGTCAATCCGATTCATGTAGCCCATTGCGCCTGGAAAAAGTTGTAGTGTATAATATAAGTGGTTTAATCAAATCATCGACATCATTGTATTTCTAGTTCGCTATTTCTTTAGAATTGGTCTGAATATTTTTTGATGTAATAGTGGGATTGTTTCAAAATAACATTCAATACAAAAAGATAAGAGCTTTTGGAAAAATTAGCACAAACTTCAGTCTTCCTCATCCAATCTGTCATTTTCACAAACGGACAAGATTGAGAATTTTGAATTATAATCATGTATCCCCTAAACATTTCGTGACAATGAGCTAAGAAAGTATTACTGTTATAAGTTGTGTCTGCTATATAGTTGAATATAAATGAAGCGTTCCTGTATGAATCTCCCTGGCGCAGAGCGGCGTCAGCTGCCCGGGCATACAACCACACGGCGTCGTAGAGGTAGGCGGCTTCTACTTTTATCTATAATCACAAATGACAAAGCAACCATAAACACAGCTCATCCAGTACTGTGTACCAATGTTCCATACCCTTTCAGCTTTGTTTTATATAAAGTACTCTTTTTATGGTTCACAAATACAGGGAACTAAATAAAAAAATATATAAAAAGTAGCTTACTATCTTTAAGGTCCCTTCTTTCCTATATGGGTTAACAAAGAAAAATGGCGCTCTTTCGAGGTAATCGTTGACAGTTCTCGTAAAGTTGTCGAATCCCGGGTAGACAGGTGGAGAGTGCATGATTCCCATGAATGATTTGAACGCCTTTACATTAACCGGACTAACAGTACTCTCAAATGCACCTGAAAAACGAAATTAAATCTTGCAGTAGTGATAAGTATAGCCTGGTCGTACGGCTGCCGTAGCTTCAAAAATCGATCTACATCGTACTGCTAAACCCTATTTTTATGATGCATATTTCTCTCGATTTTGAGAAGCTACAACCGCCGTACGCTTGCCGTAGATCAAATGTGACTACAGCATTACTAACAATAGTACTGATTAACAACAAATGAATTAAGTGCATTTGTTTCTATCATGGAATTTATTTCAAAATTCTTGTTGGCTTTTCTTGACATTTGTATAGAGAAAATTTTGAATTGGAATTATTTTCATAAAAATTAAGTGTAATATTGTATTGTTAATTCGTTAGCAATATATTATATTTGAGATGATCGCTAAAGACAGTGTCATATGTTATCATCAATCACACATATCATCATCAATCATACCTTGAACCATTTATGTTGGGGCTCCCAATGGGTTATCACAACATCTACACCATGAACGGCATATTTGGAATATTGACCACTTTTAGCTCACTTTGGAATATATCATTGGCAGAAGTATCAGTTGATTTTTGCGGGTACAATAATACAATTATTCCAATTTTTAACATGATAACTATAACTTTAAAACTCCAAATATACAATTGCTGCGTTGTCGGTGTTTCACACTGGGGGCCCCATTATTTGTTAACCCCTACCAACTACAGAATTATACCATATTGATACGGGGTAATCCATCTACTTGAAATATTAGTTTTATTAGAGTTGAAAGCCATTAATCATATTGATGGTTATGAATTTCTTTGAGACATGGAGGAACGATTACCATGGAGATAATTTGATTCCTCATCTCTGGATGTCGTCATTGGCTGTGATATTGAAAAGTAATGCATACAGTGGCGAGGGGAGTGTGGGTCCAGTGTATTACTGAATGAATACACTGGTTTTACATGGTGTAGATAGAAATTTGACCCATAAAATGTTTTATGGGTCTGCACTCAATCTGCGAACCCTGCAACACTCAGCTTGCATTCGCATATGCAACTAACACCCCAGTCACATTTGTCGCACGGCGGCCGCAAGTCGACCGCAGATCAATTAAATCGGTGAATTTCTGCGGCGAGCGTAGAAAAACTACGCTCACCTTGCGGCCTCCGTACGGCGAATGCAGATTTTTACAGGCCGCAGGGAAGGCGTAGAAATTATAACTCGGAGTTATAATATTTGTTCATTTCTGAGGTCCCCGTAGAAATCAACTGGCTCAACAAGATTGAATCATTATTTGTCAATGTATCACGATCACTTTTCATTTGATATTACATCCTAGCACTATGAATAACATTTATAAATTGTCCCGATGTAAATAAAATGAAAAGAGTATTATTTATCAACAGAAATTTAAAATTCACCGTGCGGCTGCCGTGGGAAATGTGACTGCAAAAGTATGAGAGCGTAGAAATTCCACGGCGAGCGTAGAAATGATACTGGCCGCAGAAATGATAGACCGCAAGGTCGCCGTAGGAAATGTGACTGGGGTGTTACAACTGTCAGTTACTGTATTAACCTATTATTTTTAATTTACTCATTTAAATATGATTAATACCTGTCACCACTATTCCATTCATATTTAAATGAGTTGGCCATGAAATAGCTAATCCGGTAGCCGACTGCCGAATTTGCATTCAGGAATATAAGCTAAGACCAAGAGAGAGATAGGAATAGTATTGAACATAATATTTTCATGTGGTTACTCTAATTACCTTAACTTAGGAAGTCTCCATTTTTTAAAAAACATGTTCCTAGCAATAGCTTACCAATTTTGCAGCCACATTCCCCTCATTGGGTTATACTCTATTTGGACCTGTATATAAGGGCAATAGAGAAAGTGGACGAACAGAGCTACCGGACCATGATGCGTCCACATCTTTACAGGTCTGGCTATGGAAATGTGGAAACTCGTTAGATTATCAAATCACGACAAAGCCGTGATATTTTGAGGGAATTCGATCGGAAAAAAACTTGCACAATGTTAGGATCAGGTGATTTTTTTTGATCGGTTCCTAAAATGTTTTATCCTTATTAGCAGATTCATGGGTTACCATCATCATTGCGCGAGTTTTCCTTATCGAATTTCCTCAAATTCCTCAATTACCTTACCGTATGAACTTACCACAACGTGGTAGACACAGGTCGATTCCTAAAGTAAATAAAACACAACAACAATATATTGGGAATTATTCAACAAACAACACATAACACGATAATCTTGCATTGAACACACGCCCCTAATAAGGGATAACGCCAACATATCAACATACATCCGCGTATACCAGACGTCCCCGTTTTTGGATAGCTAATGGAAATGTCTTAATGTTTGACGAGTTTAAATAAATTCATCGAAGTTGTCCTAAATTGCCGAATTATTGTAATTAAGGAACAAAATGAAAATGTAGACATATCATTGCTAATGCCTTGGTCATGCCTTGGTCACATTTGCTCCGATCCATCGGCCGGCGCCCGCCCAAATGAGTGTTTTGTTCAATATTGTATTCAATTTTGAACAAAATACTGCAATCGGCCGGGCGCCGTAGAGAAAATTGGAGCAAATGTGACCAAGGCATCACATATGCTCCGATCCATGATCGGCCGACGCCCGGCCAATTGAGTGTTTTGTTCAATTTGTATTCAATTTTGAACAAAATACTCAATCGAGCGGGCGCCCTAGTGAAAATTGGAGCAAATGTGACCAAGGCATAAAACATGTTTATATTTCTATACTGTCACGCTCTAGTGAGTTATTAGAGAGGTTAAGCAAGACGATTTTTTATGACGCGAACCGCAAACGTAAACCTTTACGTTCCCGTATACGTACTATGAACAAACGTGCTTTAAGCTGAGCACTTAAGACGTAACGCAAACGCAAACCTCAAAATGATTTTTTTCTTTCTCTTAGCGGCGTTTCGTTTTATTTTCTACTTTGAAAGTATAAAAAGATTACTTTATTGACAAAGGAGATGTTTCACACCCTGGTAGTGTTCTATGACATCTTGAATCTTACAAAATACAACTGGACGCAATAATATCTTTAGAGCAAATCTTCAAGGCATTCATAGTTTTATTACTATGGTGTCACAATATGTATAAAGAATTAGGATGAGTTGACATGTGGGTAATTGCAATTGCATGTCATCTCATCAGATTTTACATATGGAATGGGTGCCTCAATATTCAAGTTATATTTGATTAGATTGGACACAAATGATCTCGATATATACAAAAATTTGTGTCAAACATATTTATGTATTCGACCTATATCATATTTATCTCAATCGAACTTGATAAAGTATGAAAAATCCTTTACGGAACGACCTACCTAGACTTTGATTTTTCACGTTTGGATGTACGTAAACCGGGAAATAAGTAGAACAATATGACGTCACATCCTGAGAAAAACCTGCGCGCGCCTTCCCGTTCGCGGTTTACGTTGTAAAAAGTGGTGTTGCTTAACCTCTCTATTTTCGCTTCAAGACTGCAAAGTACAGCTCACTTTATTCATGTGGCTTAAAAATACATTTCAAAACTGATTTTAAAATTCAGCAACTGACCAATCCAAACACGTTTTACTTTGCTTGCTACTCAGATACGTCGCATATATAAACACAAGGTTGTTATGTTTTTGTACAACTCTGAGCGTGGAAGGGACTAAGCAAAGACATTTAAAAATGTTGAACAAAATCGTACTAGGAGGCCTGACACTCGTTTGTCTCGTGAATATTGCAGGTTCTATTCCAACACGATCTAATCTATATAGGTATGTAGTATGTGTTATATAATATGTAAATGTATTGCAATTAGGCCAAAATTTACAGTTTTTTTCTAGGCCTTGGTACATATTGGGAAATTTTCTGCATTCCTCAACTGAGTCACATGTTATTTTTCAAACAAGAATTATTGGAATTCCCTGTAAATTACAAGAGGTCATTCACTGCACTTACAACTAAATTCATCTGAAATATACCAAAATTATTTTGCATATAAATATGAATGTTTTCCATGGAATATTATAGTCTCGTCCTTAGATTGCTTATATTATTTAGGTTTGATTGACACACAATCCCTTGGCTCGCACTTTACAGATCCACAAAATGTCTGATTCAAAATTCTATTGAGTACTTTTAATTAAACAAAATAAGCAATCAAATAACCATACTAACATTATACCTAACTATTTGAAATGTTTATTCAGACGAAGGATACAGTCTAGGTATAATGTGCAGCAAAGCTGTGGCCTTCTGTCAATTTTTTCGAAATAACATGGCAGTGAAGCATCAAAATATAAGAGGCCGCGCATATGATATCCAAACTACAAAACAAACTAAAATATACAAAAGGCCATGTATAAATGTTTATATTTTTACATATACTATTTCAATATGGTCCTTTGATTGCTTATTTTTTAGATTCAAAGTACTCACTGGAATTATGAATCAGACTTTATAGTTAAACCTGAGACTTGCATAAAAAGTAAATAATAGATTTGGGAAATAAATTGGACTGACCTAGAAATCTTCTGTCTTGTGCTTTGTATATACCTGTATCTCCTTAACTAAATATGCAAATGATCGAATCAAAGTTATGTTTTGCTTGATTTAATTTAGGGAGATTCTCGGTTCCATAGCCTCGGCCATCACGGCTGAAATTCGTGAGGACCGTGAATTTTCGCAGGAATTGGAGATTTTGAAGAAAGGTGCAAATAGGCCCAAAGGATATGGAATGACAGCTGAACTGGCAAATAAGGTAAGCGATGCTGTTTAATATCGTACTTGTCAATGTTCCGGATATGTGATTTCATGGAGTTTAAGGTTATATTGTTTTGTACAGTCCATTAAACTACTTCAAAGGCAAGCAGTTGAACCTGAAAAATAAGAAATCTAAAGACTATTGTCCAATAATATATAGAGAAATATATTCATAGAAATTGCACACGAATGACATATGTCTATATTGGATTGCTGCTTGTGAATTGACTTATAAAGTCTGTAACCTTTTATATTTTTATGCTTCTCTGCCATGTTAATTCTGAAAAAATAACATGGCGGATGGACCTCAAATTACAAGAGGGCACAGGTTTATTCTAAACACTAAATAATCTGAAATATACAAATGAAATTCATAAAATGTAAATTTTGCCACCAATTTCATCATTATAGCATGCGCAGAAGCAAATATACCTTTATCGTATTTCTGGTGGCCATTTTGGAAAATGCGTATATTTCAGATATAAAGTAAAAATTATTGTTTTCAAGACTCAAAACCTAATATGTGTAGATTTTGGCACTAAATCCATCATTGTATCATGCACAGAAGCAATGATATTACCCCTCTATCACACCAAACTAGTTCTTACCCGTTCTTGCCAGTCCTACGAAAATGTCGTAAAACGGGCTCAATCTGGCTGCGATCGGGATATATGTCTAAAATAATTAGCTACTTCGTTCATAAACAGTCTTCAATACGTCCATCTCATTCGCAATTCGTTCAGGTCGCACCACGTTGGTGTGCAACGTAGTAAAAACTGTCCCTTAGTCTAGAAGGTCATCATGACCTGATTACAGAACGGTATGGTCGCCATCGAATTTTGAATCGATTCAAAATTCTAAATCACATACCCCGTCCGGGAAAGTCCATGAAGTTCGTAAACAGACCGTAGAACGTTGTAGCTACGTTCATACAGTTCGCACACAGTTTAAAACCAATTCGGCAAAGTTTTAACGATCACCAGAAAATTTTGAACCTGCTCTAAGTGCTGGAGGACCTACTCGTTCTAGTAGTTTAATGAAGTTTGTAAACAGATCCCAAACGGTTCTTGGTGGGTTCTTAGTACGTCAAATCCGTTCGTGCACAGTTTAAGCCAGTTTTCGAGAACGTAGTGACAACTAGTTTGGTGTGATAGTAGGGTTATATTGTCTCGGATCTATTTTTGGCGCGGGCGGCCATTTTGAAAATTGCTTATATTTCCAATATAAAGCGCCATCTAGCTTGTGTCTTTGGATAAAATAGTTTTTATTGAAATTCCACGTTTGTATCATAGAATGAAGTTCAGAACCTAAAATGCAGCTAACCCCATCTATTACCTATATCTACCACCATCTATTACTCATGGCATCCATGCAGCTGGTTTTTAGAAACAAGCACATTGATTGGATGATGCGTTTACTCTGTCCCTATACTATGGTGAAGATGGTATGACAAAAATATATAACTAAAATGAAATATTTCTAAAACTTGCAGAAAGCCGCAAAGTTTGATCCAGATTTAGCACAGGAGGCCATGACCTGGATACACGATGTGCTTAACACAGGCGACAACGGACAACAAGAGTTGGCGAAGAAAATGGTACGTTCCTTAAACTACGAGTCTTGGTGGTTAATTTAAAGAATTGCCCTAACTGACGTTATTTCAGAATGAGTTCATGCACCTGTGTAGACAAAAATAAATGTGTTTAGTAATAGTTTATAGTTTTTGATCTAATGTAGGAATTTGTACCATTCACGACGCAGAAAGATGTCCAGGACGTACTGAAGGATGGCATCATTTTATGCAAGTAAGTGATGGTTGAATAACTCGTTTTGAAGCATTTGTATTGAAGTCAATGGAGCTGAAGGTCGGCTATATATTCCTGTATAGCCGCCAAACCTTTTACCATGACAATCTTATGACGTCATCGGGACGTCATGTTTCATTTCTTCCTATTTTCAGCTCGCACACAGACACGTGGCGTCATTGATATAACGTAGCCATGATATAAAAGTATGTAATACAACAGTTATGTCCGTATCATTGAATATATGCCTTCGGTCTGTCGTAATATAACCCTCGCAAGCTCGGGCTACAACAGTTATGTCCGTATCATTGAATATATGCCTTCGGTCTGTCGTAATATAACCCTCGCAAGCTCGGGCTATATTGGTGACAGACCTTAGGCATATATTCAATGATAGGGACATAACTGCTAATTATCATCTTTACAAATTTTCATGGCAGAGTATTATTAGTAATATACAGGTTGGGCCAAAAAACAACATACAGGTTGAAAGAGGAATATCATATGATGTATCATTTTAAAGATAAATCATCTCCTGACAATATAAAACCATCCGGTTGAAAAACCGTTGTTTATCGTGGAGTAGGGGGCTAAATTTGACACCAGGGGTGTCGTGAGCAGCCAAAAACACATTTACACAAGTTTAGGGCAAAGTTTACCAATAATATTTATAGCTGTTTAATCAACTTTCAATTGTGTATTACTCTAATTAAATCTATAATGATTCAGTCAAGCATACTGAGTGCAGCTATGACTGCAATATGAAGGGAAATCCGGCAATTTTGATTTTTTGATTTTTGGTCGCTCGTAACACTCTTAGTTTCAATTTTAGCCTCGACTCCACAAGAAAACAACGGTTTTTCAATCGAATGCGAGATCGAATGGTGTCCTATTGTTTGGAAATGATTTATTTTTGAAATTATTTTAGTATTCATTTTATATATTTATCACATGTATGGCTATGATATCGCTTAAAGTATATTGATATATAATACATGTCATGGTATAAGATATATCATATTGCTTATCATTTGAAATCACACGACGAAATATCATGTTCATTTTATTTTTCAGGCTTATAAACATAATCAACCCCGGGAGTGTTAGAAAAATCAATCTTAGTAAGTTGGCTTTCAAACAGATGGAAAATATTAGAAACTTTCTGACTGCATGCGAGAATATCGGCGTAAGTTAAACTATTCTACTGTATACTCGTGCGATAAGCAACGTATATAAAGTATTAGGAAGTATATATTTGTAATGACTAACGAGCATATAGTGTAACATTTCAGCTAGGCCGAAGTAGCAACTTGGTTTTCAGGGTCGTCACATATTTATTGATCTAAATATTTAAGAAAATGTATGAAAGTGGAAACTTCAAATAATATCATTTACAATATCTAAGTTGTCCTATCAGATTGGAATATCAGAATAGATTACGCTCACGCTCAAGTCTCAAACTATTCGAATTGTTTTAATTAGTATATTGAGTATAATTATGACTTGCGTTTTCAAAAACATGTTAATTTTCATATTTTGATTTCAGATGAATAAAATAGATTTGTTCCAAACTGTAGATGTATATGAAGGGACCAACATACCTCACGTTATTAATGGCATCTTTGCCTTAGGCAGAAAGGTAATTTTAAATATAACGTGACAAACTTTCTTAAATGTAACGCGACAAACTTACTTAAAACTAATGTGACAAACTTACACATTTTGGGCTGTGAATTCGTTCGATACACATATTTATCTGTACTCCCGAATTCATCCTGAATTTTCCCAGAGGTAGATAGATCTTTTGGATACCCCAGCACATCATTTGGGATTTTCAAACAACAACAATTTGGCCTGAGAACTAATCTAAAATGGATTCCATGATTAATACAATCGGAGAAACATTTTAGAATTCTACAAATTCACGGTTACAGGAAGCGTTGATAAAAAAATATAATTTATGTATAAAATGGTTAAGGTATTTAAAAAAATACAATTGGTTTTTGTTGCTGTTTTCCCAAGTCAACATGGTCGCTCATACTTTTCTGTCGATGCATTTGTTTCACACTCCTGTTAAATCGTTATACTTGAGATGAAGATGTCTTCAGAGAGTCCGTTCAGAACTTGTATAGAAATTTCAATTAGGGAACTACACTTGGTCAGACATGTTTTCGTTTAGTTAAGTTTAGTTAGTTTGTATTTTATTTCAATTCGAATATATCATACATCAAAATAAATGGAAGACCCCCTAATGAATGAATTTATGAATTAATGAAGTTCCAAATAGTTATATTAATAAAGCATCTTTTGCTTTTCAGGCCCAGATGATAGGGTTTGATGGCCCGAGACTCGGACCCGAGGAGGCGACCGGAAATAGAAAAGAATTCTCCGATGAACAGCTTCGGGCTGGCGAGGGTGTAATTGGGCTACAGGCTATGTCCAATAAAGGTGCAAGCCAAGCAGGACAGAACTTTGGGAAATCAAGAGCAATCCTAGATTAAACGAGGACTCTCAATATCCATTTTAGTCTTTGGTTTAATTTTGCTACTTAGATACCTATTGTTTTTCAAACTATATATATAATATTTAGATTTCAATGTATTGAATATATAATAAATACATTGGATGCCTTGATATAAAACTATTTTATGTCATAGTTTATATAGAAATATTTATTTTATCACGGCAATATTAACACAGATGGTTAACTTATTTGAAGGTGGGAAAAAGAGGACCTAGAGTCCATGAGAAAAATAAATACACTGCTGCAAACTATATCTATTTATTGTGATAAGAGGGCTGGAATTAGAAATCACAGATCAGGAATTTCCCTTGTTCGGAGGATGCTGTAATTCTAATGATCAACCGCGCTGTTGAGGCTCGATTCATGAATTATTAAGATTGAAGTAATTTGAAATGTTGACATTGTCCCTTTTACCCAGAAATTCCCTATAACTTAGAAATACATATTTCCTGGTTCAATGCAAGAGTAACACAACATGAAACAATGGAGACGTTAGTTAAACAACAATCAAGAAAAATGGACAGACTAGTGTCTTGCTACAAGAAAAAATGCTGAATAAATAATCGGCCGTTATATTGTAATGCATTTCTTGGAGCTAGCACTATGCTTGTACCATCTATGAAAGAATCGAATTTGTTGTATCATTTTCTTATCCATGCATGGTTGATAAGATAATTATGATTTCTTGCCTTCTTATTTTAATATACCAAGTCCATTAATAGTTATAAAACAATAAATGAATTGTGCAATAAATTCATTACAGATAGTACTTTTTATTAAATATTTTTAATATACATAGCAACAACGTCAAACGATGCAAATATGAAATCATTTATGATAAATTACATTACTAATAAATTACTGGTCGAAACTTGTATGTGAACAATTTCAAATCGTATTATTTTATTGTGATATATGTGCTAGCAAGCGAACTATAACTATACCGTTTCAATACTTTACAAACAACAGCAACCGACGCATCCAAACGTTTCAATTGATATTGAATGTTGTTGTTTTTCGTCGAATGGTTCCAAATAAACTAGCATAAAAGCTACAACCGATCAAAACCCATCGTTTTGAAGCATTTGGAAACGATCGTAGTAAATACAATATGAAATGAATAAAAATGAAATAAGAAAACGATTTATTGTTGGCGTGACATATGGAGGCGTATTGGGTAACGGAAATACTTACCTTGGATATAACTTGCCGGGGCTATGGGGTCATACTGGTAGGGCTGAACCCCGATGACAAAATATTCGCCTGTGTCCAAGAGTCCCTTGTTTTGCAGATGACTCATTAATCCAACAAACTCGTAGTGTTCGGCCAACATCACATAAACTGAAGCAAAAATTGTTTTTGTAGTTTACTGTAGTTTCTTACTGGAATATCCATAACGATTATATCTACTAAATGATCGCAACATATAAAAATATGATAGAAAGTGAGGATGCGATTTTTTTTTAATAACCATGGGCAATTAGAAGGAAATGGTTGCAATTAAATGAACATAATTGGGCACCTCAATGAGAATGGAATTTCTCCTTTCTATTGTTTCTCGTTAGTTTTCTAAACATGTTTGCCATATTATAATAAATTTTAATAAATGCCCATTTGCTTTTGGAAAAAATGATCTAAATCAATGCCCATATGGTCCCTTAATTTTAGTTATTTGTCAATTTGCAGTTCCCTTTGAAACATAAAAATAATCCAGAGAAATCCTCTTCCTATATGTTCTGATAAACCATAAAATATAAAGCAACATATACAGGGTGTTCCAAAAGTAACAGGACTGGTGCTGGCATTTTGTTAAATATGCACCTATCATCTTCAAAATTTTACATAATGTACTTTCATGTATCCTTACTAAGACTGCAAAGTTTCGACAAAATATATGAAACTCTTGTAGAGTTATGGTTGCTATAGTAACATGACATCGCAATACCCGGGGCAACATTCCACGCAAAAGGTTACAGAGACATTAAGCATTTTGTACATCCCATATCATTTTGTACATGCCATATCAAAGTTGAAATGCAACAACTGGTGGGAATTACATTTGTTTTACATCATTATATATTCCTATGTATCCTTTACTTTGAAAAATAGGCTCCTCTTTGGTCAGTACGAGAGTAGTACTCTGTATCCATCACCCAAACACATGAGTGAAACCATTTGAGGACATGTCACGCAAGGTTGATTGGACAATTTGGAGAAGGTCATTCTCATCTTTAAAGGAACATTCCTTGCCAGACTATTTCTCTCCTGATATGGTAGCTACAATCATATATATACTTTACATATTTAGCAAAACACGGGAAAATGTTTTCATATGGTCAATATTGATCATTTAAAAATGTAGTACTCATTCAAAGTAAGCTGCCATCTTTTCAGATTTCTTACAGGAAGTGATGTCATCGACTCTCACCTGTTATAACCTTGTCTATTACAGTATAGGAAAGAAGTACAAAATCACTTCTAAACAAGAAGCCCTTATCTTCTGTGTAAAAATATTTTCAGGAGTTGTCAACTTAGAACTAAAGAAGAGATCTTCAAAAGGTTTTTAATAATAGACCAAATTGAAAAAAATATTCAGCTGGTTTAGAAATTCTGATAGCTCCTTACCTAATGTTATATGCAAAGTTGAGAGTCGATGACATCACTTCCTGAGTGAAATTATAAAAGATGGCAGCCTACTGGGATTAAGCACTACATTTTTAAGTGATCAATATTGACCATTTCAAAACATTTTTCTGTTTTTTGATAAACTTGCAAAGTATGTATATAGTTATAGCTACCATATTAGGAGAGAGAGATGGTCTGGCAAGGAATACCCCTTTAAGGTCTTACAGCACTGATTAGCATTCCGTTCTCAATATAAGTAAAAATTAGTATAGTGCATGGTTTTAGACCTCAAGACCTAGCTCCGCGGGCAGGCATGCTATCAAGGTGGATGACTGGCTTCAAAATGGGTCTTTTCAAAAACTCAACCGTGAATTGTTCAGACTGTAATACATAGTGATATTCCAGGAAATTGAATAAATATTATTATCATGAAATTTTACTTGAATCTGAGCTGTATAGCAACATCTTTACATCAAAGCAGCTAATAAAATAAACAAAAAAAGTTGTATTATAATAGATGAATTAGATACTTTCTTCAGTAATACAAAAATGTTGATATCACATTTTCAGGAAAAAAGTTGCCCCGGGTATTGGAATGTCATGTTACTATAGTAACCATAACTCTAATCGCATTTCATCATTTTTTCTGAAACTTTAGGATTTTAGTTGCAATACTTCAAAGTACAAGTTGTGAAAATTTGAAGAGACTCGGTGCAAAATTGACAAAATGCCAGCACCAGTCCTGTTACTTTTGGAACACCCTGTAAATGACATGACACTCCAAGGATTATGGAATAATTTCTCATAGCTACTTAATACATATTTTAACAAAATACTTAGGCCATTTATTTATCTACAACATGCAATTGGTTTAAAAAGCAAATGGAACAAATGGGTCTTTCGGAAAATCTTAAGTTGACCAATATCCTATTAAATGAATCTGTCCTTTATCTCTATTGGCGATAATTGATAATCATCAAATCTAGCGCTAATTGATAAAAGTGAGTAAGAAAACGGCCCAAGTGAAATTAGCATCATCTGATAATAGCAGATAATTTTGATGGCGATAATTGATAATTACCTTTATCACTTTTAGCGATAATTGATAATTATCAAATTAATCGTTAAATGATATAACTGAGTTTCCGCACCTAAATGAGAGGCAAGCAGTAAATGTCCACTTTGTGTAGCTTGTATAATAGCTTTTACTTACTTCTAGTAGTTATGTAAGTATCTTTAACGATTCTGACGAAGGGATTCTCGCCGTGACCGTGAAAGTATGGCCCTGTAAACATCCGGGTATTTGATACCGAGATCTCATTTTCCTTGAGAAGCTGAAACGAAATCATAAGATTAGTTTCGACAAACGGGAATTACGGCTATCTTGTTTTAAGATCGTCATGCAAATTAGGGTAAAAAATCCAATCTTCCAAAAAGACGTGTTATTGTCAACACAATAAACTGTACAAAATATGAACAATCTATGTTGTAAACCGGTGTAAATGTAATTCAGCTCTTTGCGATATATGCCCAATGTATAAAAATGATGCCATAATCACAAGGGACAGTAATCACAGCAGGCCACTATAATCCTGGGAAAAAATAGTAAAAAGAAACGAGGATAAACGGGGACTATGACTTTTACACCCGCTTGGCCAGAGAGGAATTTAAGACGCGGATACGGCAGCGTATGATAAATATTCTAGTTAAGGCCATAATTTGCCTGCTTTGATTGAAGATGATGAATAACGGAAGATTAATGGTAATCAAATTAGATTCGTGTTTCATAAATAACACGCTCAAAGAATCTTACATTGTAGTGTATGATTCTTTATCATCATACTTGGTGCGTTACGCTATTAATATACACTGAAAGTTTGAACACTCAAAAAACTAGATTGTTTTCAAACAATATAATGCTAAAGCGATAACTTCGGGATAGTTTCATACTCATGCAGAGAATTCAATATTATAAGTTATTGAATGATTTGAAGTGCAATACAGGATATATTCTGTTCGAGAAATTTTGTATTGGAACGGGACGAAGTCGAGTGCCAATACAGAATATCGAGACAGAATATATCCTGTATTGCACTTCAAATCATTCAATAACGTTTTTATCGTGTGATCCTCTGTATTGCTACTGAGATCGTCCCCTCCGTATCACTATTTTCTGTATTGCGACGGAGATGATCAACCTCAGTAGCAATACAGATTGGTACAGCACAAGAACTGACCAATCAGAGGGCTTCATTTTACAGATCATACGTAATTGTATATATTATCCTTAATTTCAATTTGCAACGTATAAACGTTGTATTTGTTCTGAAGTTGTACATGGAATAATCGTCATTGTGCTTACGACTCAAGAATTTGCTTTTTGTGAAATTTGTCTTTAGTTGAAATGAAAATGTTAATTGTGAAAATGTCGAGTTTTATTGGATCTTCAACAGTTAGATTTAAACCTTTTAAGTACCTGTTTGATTAATGGTGAATCGATATATAATAGAATTATGAGCAAATTATGAGAAATCTAAAAATACGATGACTTCTGAAAAATTACAGTCTGCGTTCGAATAGGATATCAATTCTCATCACTCCTTCACGCTTGAGATTATCTAAAATGAGGTTGAGGATATAGGGGATTATCCAGACGGCGATATAATACTCTGACAGAATACCGGAGGTCCAAATCCCGATAGGGTGAATCGACTAAATGATGATCTCTTCATCCAATCCCAAGTATTCGTCATAATTGAACATATTGGATTTCATTAAAAAGTAAAAATTTCTGAAGCGTGTGAAAATCCTCCGATTTCGTTTGAAACAATATTTTCTTCATGAAAAGGCAAGTATTTTGTATAATCGCATCTTTGTTTTTTCGCCATTTTATAAACCTATCCAATATTTCATTTGTCCAAAATTATTTTTGCATTCGTATCTATATACCCACTCACTAGCGACGTAAAGTTATACCCTGCCCCTGATGAAAATGCAAACATTTTACAAAAAGTGTAGGTCTCAAACACGCCCATGTATGGGAAAGGTATCGTTACCGAATTATAAATAAAATAAAATAACAGGTTCAAAACAGTATTACGTAATGTATAAACAATGAATAATTGTACCAAGAGCCAGTACGAATGATTTATCTAATTAAAATCCCACACTGACTCTTAAGAATGGTAAATAGCCCACGATCCAATTAAGCTTCCAATTTACCATTAACTATAAAATTTGATTTTTTATATTGACTATTCAACTATTGATACTAGAGGTAATTGTGATTTGATGAGTGAGTAGGGTGTAATTAGGTCAGCTTCAATTCAGTGCACTGCATGTCACCGTCCACGTACAGTGTAGATATTGTACATGTATAACATGGTGGAGCATTTGTAAATCTATGGATTGCTGTGGCTATCAATATAAATAATATATTGTTTAATTTTAAAGAATGCATGGTAACAAAAGAGTAATACATTTGTACATTCTTTTCAAATTATCGAAACTATCGATAACTGTCGCAATCGTCGTTTATGCCACACTGTTTCTTATAAGTTGGTTTTAATGCGATATAAAATCTCACCTCTGATATTGTGTCCGCAATATGAGCAAACTTGCTACTGTATATGAACGACACTTTCTTCCAATTCTGACCAAGCAACAACGACACAACTGACTTAGATATCTGTGAATCAGGAGGGCGTGTCCGTAGAAATGTTGGGTACATATCTTTGTCAGAGACTTCATAATCTGGGCAGTACTGGAAATAAAGAAAAACATGTAGTATAAGTTCGTCATATCATAAATAGAGATTTGGAGAACAAAAACTATAATTTGTATCTACATAGGACCGGGGCTCGAGAAAAATAAAATAACACACAAAAAGCAGCAGATGAAATCCGATCGAATTTTTCTCATCCAATATGAACCAAGGAGGATTAAATAACATGCCTGGGTACGGTTGTTTGAGTTTGCGAATAGTATATAAAGTGTAAAACGTTTTTGTTCTTTATATTCGAATATTACAATATGTAGGCTATAATAGCTATCTAAATGAGAAAAGAGGAACATATATTATCTCAAGTAATATACAATAATGTAATTAAATAATGTAAAGATGGCGCTTTCGTGTACAGCCACAGATTCCCCACAGACTCCATGTTGTAAATCACGAAGGTGAAATATCTTTTCTTGTGTTGGGCAGATAAAAAAATTTTACTTGACATATTTTAATTTTAATCTGTATGACTATCAGATAAATAAGAGTAATATGAAAAGTGAACCATTAATACTGATGAATATTCAAGTATAAGGGAACTTTGTAATACCCTGCCATGTGTCTAACCCCCTCTCACCACCATTCGTGTAACGATATCACAACCCGAGACACCTTCATTCCTACTGCTCTCACCACAATACACGTTGAAATATTCATAACCTATTTGCAATTTTCGACTTCACGTGCGCCAAGGATGAAATCTCCAGATTTGAGACAATGACGGAAATATTCGTATGTTACGGTTTTTCTCCTCCTCACAAAATATTTGTTATATCGAAGTCCAGTTGCTAGTACAAATTCGTATCGAAAAACGTAGCCTTTGCTACCCAAATGCCTACATCTCCAACAACGTTTTGCATGTCTTTGGAGTAGACGGTAAGAGCGTATAAAATGTTTTTGAAAATTTAAATGGGGAGAAATATTGAAAATACAAGTTTTCAGAGTTCACCAACAGATCCGTTAAATGGTGCACAAATCTTGCTAGAATGCTATTTTAGCGGCTCGGCAAACAAGCCGGAAGAGTTAAAAAGATGGAAACAAAACAAGGGAACACTTTCATCCGAACCATCGACCATAACTCTTACAGATCATTTATAACGCTGTAACTGCTTGTTCTGTACATTATTTTATGCATTCAGGAGATGATTTGTTGTTTCCCATCTGACAGTACCTGTATCTGGATCTTCAAATAATGGCATTTCTGAATAAGGGACCGGCTCAAGCTCAACATTCAAGGTCGAGTCAAGTCCGAAGATTTCGTGTTAGACTAATTTGCAATATTTACGATACAATATTCACTGTGATATTTTGACCAAATTCCTAGGTTATAGGTCACAGGTGTATGAGGTATCTTGTTTTTTCAATTAACAATATCGATATATCGGTATTGTTGGAAGAACGAAGTCATATGAGACGGACACGACACAAAGCTATAGAAGATCCCAAAAGACTGACCACAAAGACACTTCTCTTATAATACATCACTTTATATGCCGACTTATTTCCTTTAAATAATCCAGTCAATTTGTTTTAATAAAGCACAGCGTTGGCGAGTAACATTATCTCCCCTTTTAATTGCAATTCGCATTTCCACATAACAATTGCATATCCCTTGATATCAATAAGCTTAGAAAAGGCGCAATTATCTCATTTCTTCAAATGTTACTTTAAAATCTGATAGATTGATCAAATTAATGTCCCTGTATTAACCCTTTGGCGTCCATTTGATGTACAAAAATGATGTTTTAGGAAAACATAGACCCACAGGTACGTGCAGAAGGTGGAAAGATTATTGTTTATGTCAAGACGTGACAATGTGCGATGATTTGATTATTTTAGAAAGTTACAAGTTATGACGAACCTATTTCAAACTCGACGCCTCACTATTGATTTTGGGGTTTATTCATCTTACATTACTGCTTTTCGAATATTATTTTTAATGGGTCACCATGCCATTGTCACATTATTATTATCCAGGGGTTATGTTTGTTGTTATATACCAGTTGTGATGAGTATAACTTCGCGTCTCAAGAAAAATCAAGACTTTCATCCTTGCGAATTTTACGTAATCGTATTTTACTAATCTGCCAATCAGAAGCATGGAATATTAATCGCATATTCGAAATAGTCATCACTGCACCCCGCACTGCACTATCATCTTCATTCTCAAACCTGATATTCATTTATCCATTCGCTACATAGCATATGTCGTGATCATTAAAACTACATTGATGAAGTCAGATAGATCAACTCGAACCAAAACCTGTTATACTTTTATTATTATCACCCTGTCGGGCCAGTTCTAGGGGTTTTATTGCTAGTTTAGAAGGCATTCATTTTACTATATCGACCTGAGCAATATGTAACGTCATAGTGGTGGTCCATAATGGCGGTCAATAATGCAATTAACGACCGGCAATTTTCCCCGGGAAATTAGATATCGTTCAGTGCGTAAGATTTTTTGCTATTTCAGCACTGGTCATCAACGGTTGAAATACTAATAACGACATTTCTGCGGGCAATATAGTGAAATATTGGACCTTGGGCCTTCGACCCTCTGTCCAATATTTCTCTATATTGCCCTTCGAAATGACGATATTGTACTATTCAAGATAGTCAGAGGCTATTATTTTACATCATGATTAGTTAATGCTTGCCTCTGTGTCTCAGAAAAACTGTTTTATGGTAACAAGAAATGCAGAATGATGTAGTATCGATATAACCTTGTTAAATGGGAACTTGGAAGTTTCATTTGAAGCTGATAGACATTCTTCGGGAAAGCGTAAACATTTAATGGACTCAATCTGCCGATATACACTTTTTATCTTTGCCAGTCAGTTGCCAGTCAGTAATAATTATTGGTCTTACCACACGATTCCGATTGGGCATCAACGTTTTACGAAAAAAATGTAAATGGCAAGGCGAATGTAGGCAGACTTATTATATGCGATAAAGATACGTTTTAGCTACAATACCAGCCTGAATTACCCTTTGCATTCGTTTGATTTCGCTTCTTAAAAGAGAGCTTTGTCTTGTAACTAAACTCTGCATGCAGAATAAGCCTGACTATGTTTAAATCATGGAATAACGGAATCAAGCAAATGTCGGTGATGGACTCCATTCGAAAAATTCCCTTCTCGGCATTTGAAGAATAATGTAATTTATGTTCGACTTTAGAACGCAAAGATGTCAAAGACGCATAAACAATATATTGCATCCCGGGAGAATCGCTTCAGTGTTTACCCAGCTGTGACCTGTGCGGCAATTGTTGTCGAACATAACAATGTCGTAGTTTATTCATTGTCTTGAAGACTGGAAAGATATACTAGGTAATTGCGGTATTTTCCTGAATTTATTGATAACTACTTGTAACAAATTACGAACAGCATGCGAGTTACAGCAACCGATCTTTCGAGCTTCAGTAGATCGACCTGTCATCCCGTTTCCTATAAGCTGATCATATAATTTAAAAGATACGATGTTGACGTCTCATTCTATTATAGGTAGTCGGAATGATGGCTCAAAAGTGCCAGGAAAGTACTTTTTAATGTACAGTTGCAACATATTCTCGAATTTGGTACCGTTGGAAAGCTTGTGGTGCCTAGATTTGAGATCCACTTGTTAGCAATTACGAAATGTGGGCCGAATGTGTCTAAAACGCCCGTTTCCATGGTAACCACAAAAATATGGTGTTAATAAGCAGAAAATTGTTTTTATGCATAACTTTACTAATATTGCTCTGATTTTAATGAAATTGGTATCAAATTAAAGAAAATTAAAAGTTCGATTTTTGAAAATAACATTTATGCAAATTAGCTCATTTGCATATTGATTGTGACATCATCACTGCATTATTTTGCGTATTTTTTGATAAACGAGTATATTTATTTCAGTAAAGTAATGTACAGTTGCAACATATTCATGAATTCGGTACTGTTGGAAAGCTTGTGGTGCCTAGATTTGAGATCAACTTGTTAACGATTACGAAATGTGGGCCGAATGTGTCTAAAACGCCTGTTTCCATGGTAACCACAAAAATATGGTGTTAATAAGCAGAAAATTGTTTTATGCATAACTTTACTAATACTGCTCTGATTTTAATAAAATTGGTATCAAATTAAAGGGAATTAAAAGTTCCATTTTTGAAAATAGCATTTATGTTAATTAGCTCATTTGCATATTGATTGTGACGTCATCAATGCATTATTTTACATATTTTTTGATAAACGCGTATATTTATTTCAGTACAGTAATGTACAGTCGCAACATATTCATGAATTTGGTACCGTTGGAAAGCTTGTGGTGCCTAGATGTGAGATCCACTTGTTAACAATTATGAAAATTGGGCCGAATGTGTCTAAAATGCCCATTTCCATAGTAACCACAAAAATATGGTGTCAATAAGCAGAAAATGTTTTATTATGCATAACTTTACTAATATTGCTCCGATTTTGATGAAATTAGTATTAAATTAAAGAGAATTAACAGTTCTAGTTTTAGAACTAACTTTTATGCAAATTAGCTTATTTGCATATTGATTGTCATCACTACATTATTTTGCATATATTCAAATAAATGAGTATATTGGTTCAGTATGGTTCTGTACAGTTACGATATATGAATTAATTTTGTACCGTTAGAAAACTTATAATGCCTCCTCACCCGCTCGTCGCAATGCAGATTCGCAAGTGCAACACAACGCAACGCAATTTTTGAGAATCACAATCAGGATTTGTATCATCCTCTAAGCCTGTATGCGCAACACAATCGCAAATTTGAAAGATGTTCCAATCGCAACTGGCAAAATAGTTGCGATAGCTCTTACCCTGCCGCAAATCAATCGCAAATATCACTCATCTTTAAGACAATTGTTATCTATTTCAAATGTGTCAATCTAAGAGTTTCTTTATTGATTGCGTAAGTATGTTCTTTTCTTAAGGTGACGTGTAATAAAAAGTTAGTTTATATTTTTCGAAAGTGCT